GCTAAGAAGGGTGCCTTTGCATTTGTCAAAGGGGTAACCTATGGCGAAAGTGGCTAGTTGCCCCCTAGCACTCATTTTTTTGCTGCTCATTGGCTCTTGAATAAAGACTATATTTCCCAGTTTCCCTTAGAGCTGGGAGTAGCTGTGTGGCTACCTTTGGGTTAAGTGTTGTAGGGTAACTTCTGAGAACTTCCCCAGGGGTCCAAGCCTGTGTGCTCCCTTCTCATTTCCCTCCTTTTCCTGCTGCCTGAAACTTGGACACCACCGTCTTGGGCCGTCAGTCCCGGGTACACGTGCCATATGAACCCTGCCCTTTCCACTCAAGAGCACTGTCCACACCAGCTTGAACCATCTGCCTGGGCTTTTACATGAGAAAGAAATAAAGCCATCTTGTTTAAGCCACAGCTGTTTTGTTTCTTGTCACCTGCAACTTAACCCAATCCTAAAAGATAGAGTCCCATATGTTACCCATCCCATCTAATAAAAAANTTTGGAATTGAGGAAATTTAAGGAAGATTACATAGAGGTAGGAGAAAAAGCGGGATTGGCTTGCAGGATGGTTAAGATTACATGCTGTCTGGAGGGCGGCCATTACTTATGGCATTTCAAAGGTGTGCACAGTCCTTTACTCGTCCACAGGATTGTAGGGATGTAGAGTTGGGATACTGAAAGGAATAACATAGAAATGTAGGAAGTGGTGGCTAAAGTGTGTGCTTAAAAATGAGATTTGAGGAGTTACAGTTGCTAGTGATGACACGTGTGGCCAAGGGAGTGACAAGTTCTGAAGAGGAGTTCACACAACTGTGAAGCCTGGAGTTGCTGAGGGTTGAAACCGAGAATCACAGCAGAGGTAAGTGTCGTGCCATGAGTGTTGTTTGTGTACACTATACCTGGATATACATGAATGTGCTACAGGTACTCATGAGGCCCATCCTCATGTAGGATTTTGGAAACTGAAGTGAGAACAGGAGTATTCAAAGAAAGATGCCCTAGAAATTCCGGCTCATTACAAACGTTCTTGAAATGTGAAATTCTTAGATCAGTAATTAAGCACAACTGTATATACGGTAATTCTGTAGTATTTGGGTGGCCCTTTCTGTAGTTAAAATCATTTTTTTTACTTAATATGATCATACCCAGAGCTTTAGAAGAATGCAAGAGCCTTTGAAAAGACCCTCCGTGCTGCTGACCAGTTGGGGTCGCTGCCAGCAGCCAACACAGGTGTTTTGTAACTGCGTGCATGTTAGGAAATGTCCCAAGAAGAGTGTGGGTTTCTGTTCACTACTGTAGAATCTCTAAAAGCAGAATCAGTGTACTTGCTGTTCCTAAATTATAGTATTTTTGGCCTTGAAACTGAAGCTTTTTAAAGCAGAAATTTGTAAAGGCATTTTTTCAAATTCGACATTCTTACTATTATGCAACAGCTAGAATTGGCCAGTAGTGATAGCTATTGGGGAATGTGCAAAATATTCACCAATTAAAAGTAAAATAACCAGTTAAACTTTTAAGGTCTAATTGGTATTAGAAATGTCAGGTCATTAGAGATTAATTGCACTGCGTTCAGAGGAGCATCCTAGGCATTGTGGAGTCAGGAAGATATAAAACTTTCTTAACGATGTCTACAAAGTAGTCATGCGACCATAGAGCAGTGTTTCCCAAGCATTTTCACATCACAGCACATAAAGATGATGCTTGTAAGGCACTCCGGGAGCAATGGATGAGGCTGTTTGCCAACCGCCGAACAGAACGGGGGATCAGTATCTTGGTACACCTCAAGCCTATTTAGGAAGACGTGTCATGGATAAAAATACTTTAAGATTGTTTACAAGGTAAACTTAAAGCATAACTTACCTAACTAAGGTAGCTTTTAAAGGGATGTCGAGTCAAGGAAGGCTTCCTAGAAAGGATAAGTTGAACTCTATCTGCTTCAGCACACTAATATTTTGTAAGTATGCATGTATATAACGGTAGACAGTAAATTCTCTCATATCTCAATGAATCATCCAGTTTTTCTAGTGTAGTGCCTTCGGATAGATACACTATAGTCAAATAGCATTATTCAGCTGAAACTAAATCTGACTTGGTTGTTTCAAACACATATCACAGTATAAAACCAACACAAAGGATAAAGTTAAGTGCTCTTATAAAAGTAGAATGTAGCTAATATAATACTAAAACATTTTTATCCCTAGTTTTGGTATAATCTAAGAAAAGTATGCTTGTTAGTTTTTGTTTGTTTTAAAGATTTTTATTGGGGGAATTGGGGGATTGGAACAGCGCTGGGGAATTGAGGGAAGGGGAACAGATAAGTTGCTGTCCTTTTGTTCTTCAGTCTAGTTGTGGAAGACATTGCTTCATTGGCCCAAGTTGGCACCATCATTGCGCTCTTCCCAGGTGAGGCAGTTCAGTCACCAGCTTCTGGACGGCCGCTCACAGTGGCTGTTGGCCGCTCACTGCGGCTGCTGGCTATACATGGTAGCCCATGGCAACCTACTGCAACAGGGGCTGCAGCCTATGCCGCCGGCAACTCACAGCAGCCCAGCTCCAGGTTGAGCTGTTGTTCAGCATCTTAGCTGTAGAGGGCAGTGTCACTGGCCCTCATATGTGGGATCCTAACCGGCGCCCTCTGGCGTCCCAATACAGCTGTTAACCAATGCGCCACTCAGCCGGCCCTGTGCTTGTTAGTTTTAAACATACAATGTAAAACTCAGTTTTATTATTTTGCAGTGTGTCGCAACCCGCGTGCCAACCAAGTGCTTCTGACTCGTCAGCCAGGAGTGCACCGAAAGGGTACCTGAGAGGATTGGGTGGGAGACTAGAAAAGAAAGAGACTAGAGACAAAAGCTGGGGACAGGAGGCCCACTCAGTGCTGATGACAGAAAGTGGCCTCGTTTATTGTTTGTACCCAGCTTTTATAGCAAAAGAAGATTTTTTAGGTAGGGGTTTTGGGAACAATCTCCCCGAAGTGAGACAAAACACAGCAAGTAGAAACTGTTAACAGGATGGCCTTCCACTCTAACTTTCAAAGTCGTCTGTAACATTGGCTCTTTTTTCTTCAGCTGCACAGTGATGAGATCTGTCCAGCAACCTTCCCACGGCTGCTCACCTGGACCTGAGAGCCTGTCAGCCTGCCAGCTGTCAGGCTTAACCCTTACTGCAGACCTCCGGCTCTCTACAGCAGTGTAACTAGCAGAGTTGCATGAACCCCTCTTCACATTTTTTTCACACAAACTGACTAGAACGCACACATCACAGATGTCAAATCAGCCACTCGTTCTGATAACATAAGTCTGCACTCATGAGCTTGTGGGACTATGTGAAGTTGAAGCTTGCTNTACATAGTACATGTCTTTTAAGTATTTCCTGTACTCATATTTGGCTTCTTAATGAAACCCATTAGAACTGAATTCTTTGACTTTTAATGTGAGTTCAAATGTTTATCTAGAAGAATATCTGATAACTAAGACTATGTATTTCAATCTAGATATTACTAAATAAGTTATAGGAAATACTAATCTCTTTCTGTCTTGGTTCACTCTTTCAATACATTTATTGATCATCTATCATGAAAGATATTGTGCAAAGAGCCATAAAAGGAATAAAGATGTCAGACACTGCTGCTCTGTCATCTGACTCCAATATTCGTTTCTAGTCTATATCCTATTACTTCTGTGTCTTGGTGACTGCCCCTTAGGAGCTCAGAAATGAGGTTAAGAGCATGAATTTTGAAACCACACTACCTGAGTTTGAATCCCAGCTCTGCCAGTTTTTAGTTGTGTAACGTCAGAAAGTCATTTAAGCTCTTTTTGTTTGTTTTCTCATCAGCTAAAAAAAACAGCCATAAGAAACAAGCTCCTATGGGTTATTTAAAGATTAGTTATTGCGAGCAAAACGGTTAGCACAGAGGCAGACAGAGCCTAATGAATGGCAGCCCTTTGGTAGACACTCTTCTTTCCTTCCGTTGGGCCTCAGCGGCTGTCGCCTGGAGGATTTCTAAAACGCGGTCCCTGTGGACCAAAGCTTGTTGAAAGCCAGGATTGTCCGGTTCACAACTCCGTTTTCAGCACTTAGCATCATGCCTGGCATACGATTGTTGCTTTATTTTGCTGAATTGCTAGCCCCTTTGCCATCCCCTAGTCCACTTTTTCACATTGCCATCAGGAAAGATGATTTTTTAAACTTAAATCTCATGTATTACTTGCCTACTTCAGACCATTGTAGCAGTACACGCTCACCTACTAGAGCCCTGACATGTTTGCATGGCATGCAAGGCCCAAAGTTGGCTTGTTTCCTATTATGTACATCTCTCCAGCCACTCCTCTCCCTCCCTGACCTCACTCACATTCCACCTGGAAGTACCTCCCAGCCTTCCCACAGTATGCTGTTCTCTAAGCTGTTTCCTTATCGTCTCTAGTTTGTTGATCATTTTGCTAAACCCAAGTGCAGTGTTGCCTCTTTTCTGAAGTTCCTTTTTAACACTCAGAGAGAAGAATCTACAGTACTGCTAATGTACTTTTTACATATCTCTTATTTAACATGTGTTGAAATATGAAATCAGGGACCATCTTTTTAAAAGCTATGTGTCCCTTGAACCTTACTTAGTAAAAGGTATATATAGTAATCACTCAATGTTTATTAAATAAATTCATGTCTGAATTTGACAAATTAAATGATTGGCAGAAATACAAAAGAAGAACAATGTTGCGGAGGAAATGTTGTGAGCTTGATTTTGGAAACCTCGCGTTTAGATACCAGTAGAATATCTATGAGGTAAAAAGGTCCAGCAGTCAGGTTGGAGGAGGGCTTGTGTGAAAAACCGCAGGAGCTGCTGACCAGATTCCTCATGAGGCTGAGGGCAGAGAGAGTCCCCCTGGGGTTTGGAAGGTCAGGAGCTCAGCGGAGAAGTTAGCTTAGAGCTGAAACTGGTAGATGTGATTATTGAGCCGTGAGACCTTGAGTTTCTACCTATAACTGGTTTCTGTAATTTCTCATTCTACTAGGTTCATTATTACGAAGATGGTAACGTTCAGCTAGTGAGTCATAAAGACACACAGGATCCCCTACCGGTGTCTGTAAGTAATTAGTTCAAAGTCAGATTCAAACAGCCCGACTTCTGTAAAACCAGAGGTTTTGGAATTAACATGTTAAGTAATATTCCTGCTTCAGGTTAAAATATTTTCAGATAGATTAATGGTGGTAAGTAATGGAAATCNTTATACGGCGAGTATATAACAAACTCTGTATTTTGAGTGGAAATGTTAGGGGGTCGTCTTATACGCCCAGTCGTCTTATACGCCGGCAAATACGGTACATTTTCTGTTCCTTAGGTCTCAGATCAAATATCACCTCCTCAGGTCTTTCCCAAATGGCCTCTCTCAAGTAGTCCTCTGCTCCCCACACTCACATTCTTTCCTGGCCTGTCAAACATTTATTCTGTTCACATGACTTACAACGATTTCTCATTATCTTATTTATTTGTGTGGTGGGATGATATTTGAAGTATTCATTACTTTGTTTCTTCCTGTTTCTTCAGTCCTTTACCCGACCTATTCAGACCAGAAGATAAGATGCTACTACTGCCTAAGGGAAAAGAGGGAGCTAGGAACAAGGACAAATAAAGTCTTGAGTTCGACATTCTAAGCCTGGTTCTAGGAGTTGTAAGATAATAGCAAATGTATTAAACGAATGTTAGCTGAGCCAAGTTTTCTTCCAGCCCTTGAAGCCAAATAAGACTTGCAAACTCTGTGTGTGTGTGTCTGTGTGTGTGTGTGTGTGTGTGTGTGTGTGTGTGTGTGTGAAGAGGCATATTGGGGAGGGCACGCAGTAGCAGTAGAGCTGTAAATAAAAGAAGGGAGTTAAATGCTATGTGGAGGGTCCTGCACCCTATTCCTTAGTCTTATACAATCAGCCATGCTTTCACCAGCAAGTCACCTAACAACGCAAATCAGGGGTCCACACACTATGCCCATGGCTCAAATCCAGCCCGTTCTTGTACAACTGGAAAGCTAAGAAGAGTTTCTACATTATTAAATGGTTGAAAACAAATCAAATGATAAAATGCATAACAGATGCCTTAAAGTATGCCAGGCACTATTCTAAATCTTTGCACTTGTTAGCTCATTTAATTGTTACAACAACCTATGAAGTAGGTATTACTACTCATTTTATAGATGAGGAAACAAGCTTCAGGCTGAGTTCAATAAGTGGTCAGAAATCATACAGCTAAGGGTAGTTCAGCTGGGATTCAAACCCAGTCTACAAGGACTGACAATTAAGTTCACGAACTTGTTGCAACAATATTGCTAACCTTTTTTGATATCAGAGGGATTATTTATTATGAGTTTGTACCAATTGGACAGTTAACCAAGTTTACTATTTGGAAGTGCTGAAAAGGCTGCATGAAAACAACCTGAATTTTTTGCCAACAATTTATGGCTCTTGCATCACAACAATGTACCAGCTCACACAGCACTGTCTGTGAGAGAGTTTTTAGCCAGTAAATAAATCACTGTATTGGAACACCCTCCCTACTCACCTGATCTAGCCCCCAATGACTTCTTTCTTGACCCGAAGATAAAGGAAATATTGAAAGGGAGACATTTTGATGACATTCAGGACATCGAGGGTAATACGACAACAGCTCTGGTGGCCATTCCAGAAAGAGTTCCAAATTGCTTTGAAGTGTGGACTAGGTGCTGGCGTCAATGCATAGCTTCCCAAGGGGAGCACTTCAAAGGTGACCATAGTGATATTCAGCAATAAGGTATGTAGCACTTTTTCTAGGATGAGTTCACAAACTTAATTGTCTGACCTCATATGCTGCAACCCAGAGCCTATACTCTTCAGCTGCTTCCTGTATGAAAAATATTAACACAGTGAAGATGGTGTACAAGTGGCAAAAGAAAGATGTTGATGACATGTTCTGGTGACTTCCAGAGAGGGAGGGCCACTGTGTTTCAGAGAAGCAAGAAAAGGCTTCGTAAGCCAAAGGTACTTTTTATCAGGATGATAGAGAAGACTAACTTTAACCCCAGTTAAGTGAATGTTATCTGTTGCCCCCAAAAGAATTCCATTCACATCATTAGTTGGACTGTATTGTACTGTTATTTATTATATTTTAAATTTTATCAGTAAAAAAATCGTGAAAAGTTGTTTTCTTTCTTCATATATAGGTACCTACAAAATACCTTCTATTTTGCCTCTCAGCCTACAAAGTCTAAAATATTTACTGTCTGGTCCTTTACAGAAAAAGTTTGCAGAATCCTGGTTTATACCATAAAGACACTTATCGTTTATTTAAGAGTTCCAGATGTACGTGGTTACAGGGTTAGTTCAGCAACTCAGGGATGGCATCAAGGACTCAGTCTTTTTCTATTTCTTTGCTCCACCATTTGTAACATGTGGTATTTGTTGTTGTTTGTTTGGTCTTCTCGTGGCCCCAAAATGGCTGCTGCAGCTCCAAACTTTGAAGCTAAGGAGAATGAAGTTTAGACTGTGCATGTAGAGGCCCAACATCTCAGCCAGTGTGGAGTAGATGCTGACAACAAAAGACAAGGATGAGCTAATTGCATGATGCTGCCAAGGCCAGCACGAGCCAGACAGAAACCGAGGTAGACAAGCTCTCCCCATTTAATGGTGAATCAAAGCATAATCGCAGGGCTTAGAACTAATATGAGTGAGAAACAAGAGGAAAAATTCTGAATGTGAGCAAATTAATCTGGATGTGATTATGTTGTTTAAGATAATGAAGATGTTTGTTATCTGTCCTCCAAGCATCAATTGCATGAGGGCAGATATCTCATCTTGTCTGTCTTACTCACCACTGTGGAGGAAACTCTGGTTGCCTACTCAACATGCTTTCTTCCTTCATTCCCCCTCATTCCTTCTTTCTCTCTTTACCACCTTTTCTCTTTTCCTTCCCTCCTTCACCCCTCCCACCCTTTCCCCGCTAGCAGTCCCCCAAATATGTTAGCAATGGCAGTATGCCCAGTTTCCTTTGCAGGTGGATGTGGCCAGGTGATGATGCAGTGTAAGCCACAGTGGCTGCGTGGGGCTTTGGGAAATATCCTTAAAGGGAACATGCTCTTCTGATTTGTTCTCCTTGGCCTTTTGCCCTCTGCCCTTCTACTTCCCGAGAATGTGGACCTGCTTCCGGGAGGTGCTGCCGCCATCTTGCAGCCATGAGAGTAAAGCCACAGATGGTACAGGACGCAGAGCAGACCGCAGAAGGAGCCTGAGTAGCTGCAAGAGGCCTGGACTCTAAGCTTCTTATAACTGAGAAAAGGAGACACCTCACCTTCCCGTTTGGATAAACTACTTCATTTAAATTTTCTGAAAGCAAACCTGAATCCCCCGCTCCCAAGATGGGGCCGCCATAGAGGTTCTCAGTAGTCATGTTGACATAAGAAACCAAGCCTGTAGGAACTTTTTATAAGTTTGTTTGAGCCAAACTGATGACATGCTGGGGAGCAAGATCTCAGATGCTCCAGAGAAATACAGTTTTGCAGCTTTTTTCATGTATTTGAAATTGAGGAGGGAACATAAAGAAGATGACAAGGGGGGGACTGGACCACTGGACAGTCAACAAGGTTATGTGCTCTGGTGAGAGTGGTTCTGGTTTATTCCAAAGGTGTGGTAAGTGGACAGAAAAAGGCAAAAATTAACCTTTTACTAAAAAGTTATATGGCTGGGGTGTGACTTCCCACTGTTAGGAGTTTGTGACCGGGTCACCCTGTGAGGTTACTTCCCATAGAACCCTTTTTTAATGCACACTCACGTGTAGAATGCATGATTTAAATGCAAATACAGCACTAAGGCTTTGTGGCTGTAAGGCACAAAGGAGAATCACACAAGCGCCTAGAGCAGTGTTTCTCAACCTGTGGGGCGCGACCCCTTTGGGGGTCGAACGACCCTTTCACAGGGGTTGCCTAAGACCATCGGAAAACAAAAAGATATTTACATTACAATTCATAACAGTNAGTAGCCCATGGCAACCCACTGCGGCAGGGGCTGCAGCCTACGCCGTCCCCGGCGACTCACAGCAGCCCAGCTCCAGGTTGAGCTGTTGTTCAGCAACTTAGCTGTAGAGGGCAGTGTCACTGGCCCTCATATATGGGATCCGAACCGGGGACCTCTGGCGTCCCAAGCCAGCTCATAACCAATGCACCACTCGGCCAGCCCGAGTACAGTATTTCTTAACTGTTTTTGAAGTCAAGGACTCATTTGAAAATCTGAAGAAAGCTATGATCCCTCATCTTAGAAAAACGCGTGTGTGTCTGCACATTCATACCTACCAAATCTCCACCCACACGCATCTCAGGAACACATGGGATGCTCATGTAACCTCACGTCTCCCGGTCTGAATGGTGTTCAAACATACGTTATAGGAAAACAATTCTGCAGAACTTGTTTTTTGGGGGTTTTTTGTTTGTTTTTTTAAAGATTTTATTGGGGAATTGGGGGAGGGTAACAGACAAATTGCTGTTCTGTTCTTCAGTCTAGTTGTGGAGGACGTAGCTTCACTGGCCCATGTTGGTATGATCATTGCGCTCTTCCCAGGTGAGGCAGTCGGTCGCCAGTCGTTGGTCAGCTGCTCACAGTGGCTCCCAGTAGCTCACACTGGCTACCAGCTGCTCACCTGGCTGCCAGTCACTCACTTAGCTCACGGCAGCCCACTACAGCCCTGCTGCAGCCTACGCTGTCACCATTGCTGTCCACTCAGCAGCCCAGCTCCTGGTCGAGCTGTTGTTCACCATCTTAGCTGTAGAGGGCAAGTGTCACTGGCCCTCAATGTGGGATCCGAACCGCAGCCCTGCTGCTCAGAGCTGGTGCTCCCAAGTGAGCTCTTAACCAGTTGAACAACTCGACTGGCCCTCAGGTTTTTTTAATCATAATTTATTCATTTAGCAAACTAAATGTTTTTTTTTAATTGTTTGGTGTTCAAACATACGTTATAGGAAAACAATTCTGCAGAACGTGTTTTTTGTTTTTTTTTAATCATAATTTATTCATTTAGCAAACTAAATGTTTTTTTAATTGTTTTTGTTAATCATAATTTAGTCATTTAGCAAACTCTTCTCCAGCT